CCCTGCGGGGAAGCCGCCGTGGGCCAGCCAGCCTGGGAAGCACCATGTTGCACGGCTTTGCTTCTTTGCTTGCTCGCTCGCTCCCCATCCTCCCTCTTCAGGGAGCAGCCAGCTAACAAGTAGCCTCTCTCCCTCCCCCACCCTTACCTGCTTGTGTCCTTCTTTATCTGCAAGAAGCTGGGACGTGGAGCTACTTGCGGGGGGGGCAGAGGGAGAGACGGCAATAGCCAAAGCCAGAAGGGGGGGAGAGATGGAACAACTTTGCAGACAGGCCAGCTAGGCGCACGGAGGAAGCGCTGCCTCCGGGAGGCAGGAGTTGCAAAGTAGCTCCACATCTCAGCTTCTTGCAGATGAAGGAGGGCACAGGCAATTAAGGGTGGGGGGAGAGCTGCTGCTTGTTAGCTGGCTGCTCCCTAGAGAGGGAGGGTGGGGAGTGAGCAAGTAAGCAAAGAAGCAACTCTTGCCTCCCAGAGGCAGCACTTCCTCTATGCGCCCAGCCGGCCTGTCTGCAAAGTTGCTCCATCTTTCTTCCCCTTCTGGCTTCGGCTGATATCCTTTTGCAGCTTACATATGTATATCCAATAGAGTTGGGCACAAGCTGGAAAACAAGCTGGTTTGTGATGGCTTGTGGTTTGTGGCTATGCACAAACTATCACGATCCCCCCCCCCCATGTACTTTTTTTTTGCATTCATGCTAGAGGGAGAGACGCAGGCACTCACCAGTTAGCTGTATGACCAGTGCACATGCACAGACAGCAGGTTCAGTTCCTTGTATAGAAGACAGGCCTGTTGCCTGTGTGCATATGTCTGCCACTCAGCTGACAGGTGGGAGCAAGTGCACAGGTAGCAGGTCCAGCTTCCATGCAAGGAGCGGGGCCTGCTGCCTCTCAGGATGGCAGCATCAGTGGAGGAGGCAGTGGCAGCAGCTTCAAGAAAAATTAAGGAAGCAAAAGGGGCAAGGGGAGGGGTGGGCATCCCATTTTGCAAAAGCAAATGAAGTGCCAAGGGGGAAATGGTTCAATGCTTCATTTTGCTTTGGCCAAATGGCATCCCCGAACCAAACCATGAACCAAACCACAAACCAGTCCAGTTAGTGCTTTTTTCTGGTACGTGGTTTGGTTCATACCCAACTCTAATGCCCACAATATACCATGTGAAGACCTGTTTATTTAGTTTTTAGTGCATTTCTTGGATAACCACCAGCATTCTCATTCTAACTACATTCTGCATCAGGTTGCAAGACTCTTTTTTTCCTTGTAAGATAGCTCCATTTTTCTTCCATTCCAGTGTGTGTGATCACTGATGTTGAACCAAAGTAGTTGACTTGCTGTCCCTTTGCTGAAACCACTTAAAGGAAGAAGATTTTAACACCTTTTTCATTGTGGGCTTGCAGTCAGATTGTCATAAACTTCTTAAAAGTTATTCATAAATATCAGTCAGGGAATAGTAATGAAAATGCAATAGAAGATCCTTAGACACAGTGTACCTTTTCCCCATTTAGAAATTGAGTGCCGTTTATTATACATTGCCATTTCAATCTGCAGTGACTTATGTTTCTTATTTTTGTGGCTTGTATTCATATTCCATAAATGATTTCCAGCTTTTGATACACAGGCATTTACAGCCCCACTCATACACATTTGTTGGATAAAGCCTGCAATTCTAGAGTTATTCATAGTGGAGTTCCTAGAGTGAAATGGGTTTAAAAATCAACAAATCAGCTTAGACGATACTGTTGATCATGGTATTCTTCTGGACTGGCTCTGTAAGGAGTGGTGCTGCTGCTGGTGCTGGTGGTATTGATATTGTAGTGGTTTTACTCCTACTAAGAGGACTGTTTCTAGATAATGACTTTGTGCTTTTTTCCTTGGCAATTATTCTGTGGAGTGTTGCCAGACACAGCCTTGTCCCTAATGCTTTGTAGTACCTGTTATCATTATGTGCCATCAAGTTGCTTCTGATTTATGCCAGTCCTATGAATTAGTGACTTCCAAATGTCGATCATCAACAAAATTGTTCATATCTTGCAAACTAAAAGCCATGGCTGCCTTTTGTTGAGTCACCTTTTCTTATCACCTTCAACTCTTCCCACTATCTATGTATTTTCTAATGAGTCATGCCTTTTCATTATATTCTCAGCATACAATAGCCCCAGCGTAATCATGTTTGTTTCTAGGGAGAGCTTGATTTGATCTAGCACCCACTTACTTTTTTTCTGGCTGTCCTTGGTAACTGCCAAATTTCTCCTTCCACACTAATTTTCAAATAAATTTATTTTTGTGAGCTTTTTTCTTTGTTCAACTTCTACATCCATAGATACTAATCTGGAATGCCATAGTACCTACCTGAAGCCATTGAATGCAGTCCTGAGAGGCTTGGGGGGGGGAAATGTCATCGGTATGCAAATGACACCCAACTTTATTTCTCTGTTACATCTGAGCCAAACATGCTCTTAGGATCCTCTGGATCATCATAAATGCAAAAGGAGGAGGAGGCAGCAAGAAACTGAAAGTAGATAAAACTCCAGACTGTGGTTTTTCTCCTTCAGGCTGGCCCTGCAATGTATTTGAAAAAGAGCTGCTACTATTCTAGAACTAGATTTCTAGGAGTGATAATTCACTTTCCCTGCAGAAACTCTTTGCGGTGGTGGGGGCAGCCAAAGAAACCAGGGGTCACATAAACAGCCTCAGGGTCCACATGGAGACCTAATCCTATCATTTGCCCACCTTTGCATGAAGGGCATTTGTCTGGGTACACTCAGGGATTCATTCATATATGTCACTCACAAGGCATCTTTTGTTTTAGAATGACAATCTATCTGTTCTCAGAATTGCCCTCAGAAAAATAACATTTACTAGAAGGCACTGCTGCCTTATTCCCTCTATTACCGTATGGAAGAGGTGGAGAACCTTTAGCACTCCAGATGTTTTGGACTTCAACTCCCAGAATCCTGAGCCTATACTGCCAAAGGGCTGTGGGAATTGTAGTCCAAAACATCTGCCCTAAGTGATGAATCAGTGAACAGAGGGAAATAAAGATAAAATATCTGTGCTTCTTTTTTCTGTGGGTCCAATGCTACCTCTATGGCATAGGTCGGGAAAAAGGGATAAATTACCCCAAATTGGGTAAAAGTGAAAATTCTGGGTGTAATGAGCAGACTGCTACCCCCTCCCTCCCTCCCATCCCCACCCTCTGCAGCCAAAGCTCAAATTATAAGCCTACTTCCTTTGTTGCAGCAGGGCACTTCTAAATGCTCCGTTCTTTCAGTACATCGGGAGATAAGCCTCCCTAATTGGTTACAGCTGGGGATTAGCCCCGGGCAATCAATCAGTCTGGGGCTTCTGAATGACTGCTGCCTCCGGAAATGGCTGCAAAGAAGCAGGAGGATAGAGAGGATCAAGGAGCAAGCAAGGGAAAGGAGGGAAGAAAGGTGCGAGAGACCGAGGACTTCATCAAGCTTATTTAAATGTACAAAATGGAGGGAGAAAATGGAGGGAGGGAGGAAATGGAGGGAAGGTGGGTGGGTGGATGGATGTGTGTGTGTGTGTGTGTGTGTGTGTGTGTGTGAGAGAGAGAGAGAGAGAGAGAGAGAGAGAGAGAGA